ATTTAATTAAAGATCCATAAGCTGCTGAAATGTGAGCTCACTGGTTTTTAGGAAAAAAACTAAGTCAAACTCAAGCTTGGCAAAGCTGAATGGTACACTGAGGTTGCACATTTACTAGGGACAAAGTTCAGCTAGAGCCGGGAGAAAATCTCCAAAATAAAGGATTGTGAGCCGGATTTATTAGTTACAGTGTCCATACGTGTATAAAATGTATACAGTGAGGTATCATTTTGTGCGTGTATTGTGAATGTTCCTCTTGTTATCTATTTTGAAATATTCATTTAATGGTCAACCATGGTTATCCTACGGTGCCACAGAACCTTAGAAGTTGCTTCTCCTGCCCACCTGCACCCCTGTATCGGTCACTGTCCCCTCTTCCCCCACCATGTACATGCATTTTCTAAAACCAGTGTTCTGCTCTCTGCTTCTCTGAGGTTGCTTTTCAGCGTCACTCTGAGCAAGCACAAGCAGGATCTGCCTTTCTGTGCCCGACTCAGGTCACTTAACGTGATGCTCCCTTTTTAGAAAGAAGACAAATGAGTCCTTACAGTCCTCTTCAGTACACATGTGCCTTGGTGACCTGGAATGGGTTGGGTTTTGTCTTCCTCAGAGAACCATGCAGGTGGCTGTCCTGGCCGCAGTGCTGGCCGCAGCCCGCACACAAGTCACGGCCCGCCCGTGGAGGCAGGACCTTTCGTCTTGTTGACCTCAGTGCCTCCTTCAAATGAGGAACCTGCTATCTTTCTGTGGGGTGGCTTGCCTGCTGGGTGCACCCGTTTCCTGCACTCAGGCTTGACTTTCTTGGCCGTGGCCATCATGGCATAGCCCACACATGTGGGTCTTGTCACTTTCATGAGCTGCTGTTAAGAACTGTGGCTTTGAGCCGTTAGCCCGTGGATCACAGCCCCTCCAGTGAGGCCCAGGGAGATAGGAACTTTGTATGAGAGGACTCACCACATAGGCATCTCATGTGTGGGGAAAGTCTGGTTGGTCCTTTTAACTTGTATTGTGGTAAAATATAAATTGTACAAGATTTTCCATTTTGACCCCTGGTGAGTGTGCAGTTCAGAGGCACTTGATATGGCCATTTTGATGAGAAACCATCACCACCACCCATCTCCAGAGCTTTCTAATCTTTCCAAACGGAAACTCGTTAATCCCTTAAATAGTAACTTCCCCCCATCCTCTCCTTTCATCCCCTGGCAACCAGTGCTCCGCTCTCTCCGTGAGCTCGACTACTCTGGATACCTCATACGAGGGACATCCTTTGACATTGGTTCTGTCTGACTCCACACGCTTAGCATGGTGTCTTCAAGGTTCAGCTGTGCTGTCTCCTTGCTTTTATTTATTTTAAATTAAATTAAATTAAATTAATTTTTTTTGTGATAGTAAGGATTGAGCCAAGGGTCTTCACACTGAGCTATATCCTCAGCTCTTTTTAAATTTTTTTTTTTTTTAATTTTTGAGACAGAGTGTGGCTAAATCATGAAATGGCCCAGACTAGGCTGGAACTTGTGACCCTCCTGCCTCAGCCTCCCTGAGTGCTGGGATTACAAGTATGCACCACTAAGCCTGGCTTCTCCTTGTTTGAAAAATGGTCTTCCTTGAATTGTCTTCCTACTCAAACTTCACTATGGTAGTCTAGAGCTTTTCCTTTTCCCTCTAGAAGATGGTTTTGAAGCGGCTTTCATTCTTTAGTCTCATACAAAGTGGCAATCATCCTGTCCCCAAATGTGAGTGCAGGCTCTCTGTGGAGTCCTGTCCCCAGACAGGACTGCTGGGCCCATTTGTCCTTTCCAAGGTTCTAGGGGTTTCCAATGGCTATTAACTCTTCTACAACTATCAATTCAAAGGCACAAGTTTGGCTATTCAAATTACTTTTTCCAAAAGTACTTTAAAATGCATTAAGTTATTAATTGCCTGCTGGCACTTTAATCAAATGGGAAAATTGACATAGCCAGAGGCATATATTTTTGTGGAAAGAAAATTTATTTAAGAAGAAACAGCAGCTCTTACTGCTTAATTTAAACCGAAAAAACCGTGGAAAATCAACTGCTATGGAAAATTAATAAAACATATCCAGCTGCAAACAGTGACTAATTGTACAAGATGAAGACTGCCCAGAATTAATAACTTGCAGTCTTGTGTGTGAAGAACCCCCTACCACTTCAATTTACTGGCAGATTAAATTACTTCTAAGTTTGCCATATTAAAACAGAACATGAATAAAATGTTAGCGAACGTACATCTATTATTTACTGTCTGTGATATGGATATAATTATTTCCAAACAACTACAATGTGACATGACCAGTAATATTTAAATGACTCTTTTAGAAAGGGAATTTACCACTGTTTTTGTGTGCATGTGAAGAAAACTCCTCTCCTAGAGTCAGAAAATGGACCAGTGGACTTCAACAAATGGTTATGTCCCCGTCCAGGGGATGGGAATGTGTTCAGTGCCCCAGCTTCTATGCCCCTCGGTAATCACACATCACTTTGGAGGAGCAAGGACAGCAGACAATCTCAGCATCTCATTCATGAGCTCTGGTCTAAGTCAAGCCCTCTGCCCGGGAGAAGCCGAGGTTGGAGCTCAGAAGCCTTGCCCGGTGCCTGAAGGGGCCGTGAGCTCATGAGCCTAGCAGAGCAGATTCCTTATGGGAGGGTACAGGAGGTGGAAGGAAGGGCCGCACCGATTCTGGAGGCCGTGGGTTTTCTAAAGGCCTGGTCCGCCTTGCGGTCAGCCTCGCTCGAGACCGCGAGTCGTCTTGCAGGCTCCGGGTCCTCAGCAATGGAGTGAGGATTCAACGGCAGAAACACATTTTGTTCTTTTTCTACCTTCGCTGCCAGGATTGGTTATTTCCTTGCCTTACAGAGCCATCAGGAAGTCTGGCAACTTTCCTAGAGCCTTGACATTCTTAAGGGCCCTGAGAAGCAGAAAGCTATGACAGGAAACCATAGAGTAAAGAAATCCAGAGAATCGAGAGTTCCATCTTTGCACAGCAATCAATATTCTAGCTTTGTTTGCGTAAAATTTTAGCTATTAAAGAATAGCTCAGGAAACAGAGAGGTAGCCGATTTGACGTATGTGGGGGAGATCTATCAGGGATGGAGATTTTCTTCGCCGAGAGGCACTGCTCTTCCGGCCACTGATCTCTTAATGCACGCACAGAGCGGACATTCAGCTTCTTGCTATTCGATATTGCTGGCAGGAAGGTGCGAGCACCGGCCTGGAGAGAATAAAGGCATGTTGTTTAGAAACGCAGAGGCTTAACCCGGAGCATAACTGGTTTGGGGTTTACCACAGAAGTTATCTGGACACATCATTTGATTTCCAGGTTTTAAATGTAATTCTAAGCAAAATCTGGCTGCATAGTCCTCTGCTGTGTGACACAGAGAGACATTATCAGCCACCAAATGCCATTCAGGCTTAAGCTGTGGAAGTGAGTCGTATAAATTGGGGCATTCTCGAGGCCCTAAAGCACGTTGCCTCTCCCAGGAGAAAATAAGAGGCCTGCTACAATCTCCCCGTCACTCAGCCAAGAAACCATCAAGGCTGCTCCTCTCTGTTGAGGTTCATTTTGGTTTCCCTGCGTCAGAAACGCCTGAGAGTTGCACAACAGGCCGATCCCCACCCACAGGCCACGTCTGATTACATAGGTGGAGTGGGTGGTGCTGGGGCCGTGGAATCTGGGGCAGGCATGGAAGGTTCCTCAGCCTCACAGAGCTTCCAGGCAAATGTAAGTATTCCGAGTCCCCAGGTCTCATTCTGAAGCGAGGGTCAGAATGCAAGTCCCCCTCGGTCCCCTCAAGAGGAAATGACGTGTGCTGCTTTGCTGGCAATGACCCAAGGCGGAAGGAGCAGCGAGGAGACAGGAAGCAAGGCCAGAGGGCCTGGACCACACTTGGCGCCGCCCCTTCCGCTTGGGAACCTGACCTTCGGCCTTCCCATCCATCACACGTCGGTTCTTTGGTGACCGCCCAACCCCGAATCGAAAGTAGGCATTGAAAAGGTGCCGTTTTCCCCTAAAGAGTTGTGACACTCGGTGTCTGCAGCTCTCATCCTTCAGCGGAGGCCGTTGTGCCTTTGTCAGGTCACCACAGCCAGCTCCTGCTCCCGGCGTTACTTGCCGTCTGATGTCGTCCACCTCTTTCCTCCTTGGAACATTTCTGTGCTGGCTTTATGATGACGGCACTTGCTCCTCTCCTTCCCGCCACCCCTGCCCGGTCTGCCCTTTCCAGTAGCACCACTAGGATACAATGTATCGCTTGCCGGTGGCTTCTTTCTGCACAGCTAGAAGGCGAAGCTGTGAGGCAGGAGTTCTGCGTCACACAGGGGCACCTGCTAAACACAAGAATGGATGAAGCAGCGGGGGCGCTCAGAACGCTCCGTGAAACCCAGCTAAGAGCGGCCTTTTTTACAGGGTATCTGAGATTTAATAAAGTGGGACACTGTCTTACAATAAGGGTTTGTCTTTCATATCAGCTTTGAAGGAGAAATCATCTAATAAAAAAATCAGCCTCAAAAATCTCTCAGATTGTTTTTTAAAAAAATGTATTGGTACATTCTAGGTAGACAGTACCGTTACATGCATCACTGGGATCGTGTACCTCTACATGACGGGTCTTGGTTCTCATTTTTTCCCCTTGTCCCCACCCTCCCTTCACCCTCCCCTCCCCCCTTCACACACTTTAATTCCATTTTTACATTTTCTCATATTTTTTTCTTTTCCCTTACTCCCTCTTAAAATCTCTCAGATTCTAACTATCAATCTCTGCACAAGCCCAGTTTAGCTCTTTCCCCAGGACTGGAGCAGGAATTGTTACTCTTTGACCCAGTACTGCTAGATGAATTGCCGGTTCGTCTTCAGACCCAGGATGCACAGAGATGTGCTCTAAACACGGACCTCTCACAGCGGGTGGGGCGGCACACTAGCTCACCCTGAGAGCCCTGGGCAGCGGCGGGGGACAGACTCCTGGCCTCAGTCCCCTGCACATGTCTTCAGGGCACACGGGCAATGAGAGCCACGGTAAGGAAAACACCTGTGCTTTCCCAGACCTCCTTGCGCCTCTGCTAGGTTAAGCTCTGGACAGCCAGACGGTTCATGAAGACTTCTAGCGCGTCTCCACTCTGGCTGGACACCCGGATCATCTGAGGAACTGTACAAAATCTCTATCAGCTTCTCCCGGCATGGAGCCCAAATCTCTGTGTGCTTATTTTCGAAAATGGTAAGGCACAGTGGAAGCATAGCAACAGGTAAGGAGCCTTGCTGGGGGTATTGGCTCTGTTTTCATCATCACTAGGGGATTTCACACCTTTTGATTTGTTTTCTTTTTTATCCAGTTTATGGGTACTTTTTAGGTATACAGTACAGTTACCTTCATCACTGGCATCTTGTACCCTTATGTGACAGATCTTGGTTCTTGTTTTTTCCCCATTCCCCTGCCCTCCCTTCACCCCCTCCACCCTCCCCTATTGACAAAGATGACACCGTTTGATTTTAATGACGTTGGGACCCGTCCAACGTCAGAAGGCAGTTTTGTTTTAAGAAACTGAGTTCAGATTAGTGTTCTGTTTTCCTGTGGGGTCCAGGGAAGGCGTCACTAGGCACAATTACAAAACAAGCTTTCCCAAGCTCTTGAGGTCCTCCCCTGGGGTTTCTGTTCGCCCCCACCCACCAGTGCGTGGAGATGGCCACAGGAGGGACAGCTCCTCAAGCAGGCACCCTGAGAGGGTCCCCTTGGGAAAGTGCAATGGTGAGTGCTTCCCTCTTCCTCTCCTCCACTTCCAATCCAGCTTTTTCATTTCCTGTCAGCCTTAGGAGCCAACCTGCTGCCATGGGATGGAGTTTGTCCCCCTCTACTCCGACCATGCAAATTTATATGTTAAGGCCTTGACCTCATCTCAGAAGGAGACTGGAGTCAGGGTTTTTGTAGAGGTGGGCCCTGATCCAACAGGGTGGGTACCCTCATAAGAGGAGATCTGCACCCAAGGAGACACCAAGGATGCAGGCACAGCACAATGTGGTGTGGGGACCCAGCAAGCCAGACAGAGACCACAGGCCCAGCGCTGACACCATGATCTTGGCCTTCTAGTCTCCAGAACTGTGAGAAAACACAATACTGCTAACTAAGCCACTCAGTGTATGGAGTTTTGTTACAGCAGCTCTAGCTACCTAAACAACTGCCAGAGTGTTAAGTTGTGATGAATCAGGAGTTCATTATTTGTCCTTATCATCTACTAAAACAGAAAAATAAAATAGAGCCTTGAGAAGCTTGACGGGGATGCCTGCAGGTGCCTGTACTTTTAGGGGCTTATTCCAGTGACTCCCCACTTGACCCAGCCCACGCTGCCCTGCTCGGTGCCCTGGGATGCTGGGCCTATAAGCCGAACCCCTGGGCTCTCTTGCTGTCCAGCTTCCAGAGGTGAGTTTGTCTGACAGGAAGCACTAGTGGGAGGTCGGAGGTCAGGGAGAAATTGGACTTGGTTTCAAGCCCTCTCCACAGCTGGCTAACTTGTCCGAATCCAGGAGCCTCCCCGGCTGCAGCTTTCTCAGGTCCTGTTATCTCCTGACCCTCCCTGCCCCTCCACATGTACAGGTGACCTTGGCTCCCTGCTGCTCCTGGTCGCCTCTCGTCAATTACCTGCCTCTTCCCACAACCTCCTACTTACACTTTTCTCAGGGAGTGGCTGGGAAGGTCAAATAGGATAAAATACAGTGCCTGGAAAAATCAGGATTGCAGAAATAGCTGTTACAGTTGCTTTCATGTCATAAGACACTCAGAAACGTGCCTCTCAAATCCAAAGAAATGACTGTCTCGTGAGAAAGTTTCAGGTACCACAGCAATTCCAAATGTCCTGGCAAGTCCTCTATAGTAGGCAGGATTATTTAAAAATATATTGAAAAGTTTTATTTGACATATAGTAGTTGTAAATCTTTACAGGGTACAGTGTTACATCTCAATCCATGTCAGCAATGTGGAATATCTTCAATGATCACATGATCCTGTGTGTCTGTTGTAAAATATTCAAAATCCTGTTTTGTAGGTATTTCCTTGGTAACTTGAAATATCCAATTTGCTGTCAACTGTAGTTACTGACAACATTTACATTGTATTGGCATTATGTGTAATCTAGAGATGATGTAAAGTATAAGGGAGAACATGCACTGCCTGTATGAAAGCACTACTCCAGTTTGTATAAAGGACCTGAGCATTCTTAGGTTTTGGATCCTCGAGGAGTCTTGGAACAAATCCTGAAGAGACAGCAGAGGATGACCAGATATAGACACAGATGTATAGATATCAGATATAGGTATAGATGATATACCTTTACCCCATTAGCTTATATAAGACACTAATATAGCCAAATTTTGGAGCAATCTTACAGTTTTCATTAAGGTTTTTGTTATCAGTTGACCTTTAGATAGGCGGGTTATCCAGGTGGACCTGACTTAATCACCCAAGCCAGTGATGGCGAACCTTAGAGCTTTCAGGGACACACACAGCTTGCTGTGACACTTGTGTTTGCCACAGGTTCATCACCGCCACCAACCTAAACCCTTCAAAAGTGGGACTTTTCTCTGCCTGGTCCCAGCAGAGGAAGGCAGGCAGCCATGCACAGGTGTCCTGGAAGAGAGGAAACCTAGCTGTGAACTGCCTGTGGAAACTGAACTGTGAGCACCTGTGTGCAGCTTCTGTTCACTGAGAGTCATTCACAGCCAAGAGCAGGAGGAAAATGGAGACCACAAAGACATGAATTCTTCCAGCAATCAGTGGGCTTGGACAGGAGCCCAAGCAGGCCCAGTCAATGATCAGCTCTCTGCCCCAGGCCCCGGCTGCAGGAAACACAAGGTCATAAATGCATGGTGTTTGGAGCCATTAAGTTTGTGGTAAACCCAGCCTCCGTGCCAGCAAGTTTGTCCTCTGATGCAAATGAAGATGCACTTTGGTCCCAACCCTGACACTGCCCTGCTCCCTTCCTCCCACGACGCACACCCACCGCAACATTTCCAGCTCCCACGTCTGTCTTGAGGGTCCCCCGTCTGGGAACCAGATTTCAGACCACATTAATTAACAACCTCACAGCCAGCTTTTCCTCGCTCTAGGAAACAGAACAGTCTGTGCAGCTGTTGGGCAAAGGGATAAACAAGTCAGGAGAACAACGCCAGGAGACAGGGCATGGCTTCGGACTGCAAGTGAAATTTTTCAGAGGCCCACTTAGTTTCACATGTGATCACGGAAGCCGTCGGGAAGGTCCAGCGCGAGATAGGACAGGAAGGCTTGGTGGGAGGTAAACACAGTGCACGTGTATCCTGCCAGCATCTCTAAGCTACTGTGTGTTCTTCTGCAGGGGCCAAGGAGCAAACCCTCAAATCTGAAGGAATAATCCAGTAGGACATTGCATAGAGGGAACCTTATGTAGTACAGGGGAAATAAGGCAATTTTAACTATGAGAGCAGAGATTAGCCCCAAGAATTCAGTTTACTGTTTAAGGAACTTTCAAGTCTTTATTTATAAGGGGTTATAAGTTCTAAGGAAATAATTTTATTCTGTTGGCACTTATAAGAAGTGTGGAAATGTATTCCTCTGGGAGATTTTCATTATTTGAGTAGATTTTTAAAAAATTTCTTTCCTGAATTCTCACTGTTTCTCAGTTATTCTGTGTGTAATGTGCAGAACCAAGCTTTGGAATCTGTGTTTTATGATGGTGCTAATTATCACCATTGGTCATTATAAGATAAGAAGCCACAAATACATAGGAATGGTAAAGATCTAAGCAGCTATTATAGCATGTGCACTTGGATGGGGATACAGCCTTGTAAAGATATCTTTATACTTCAGTAATTAAAGTGTGTCATATTAATTGCATGCCTCCTTCACAAAAGCTTGCCAAAGAAAAAGAAAAATCACCAAGAACTTTTCCTCTTGATAACAGATTAGAAATGATTGTATAATTACATTACCTGGATAATTAAATACAAATCTAGTAGCCTCAGAACTGTACAACATCGTGGTTTCCTTTTCTAATAGAATTAGCCTGCCTTTGGTCCTGAATTTTTGCTAGGCAATGGAGATCTAATTGCTTGGTGACATGACATTAACTCCTTGGGGACGTTTGCTCTGAGAATAGGCTTAGATGAAACATGATTCACAGAGTGACTTTCACTTTTCATTACTTGGTTCCAAATCACAGGAATTAAAGATGTGAGAGATCTATCAGGCTGTCTTCTCTGTTACTCGGGGTGAGAGAAGAGTGCTCATCAGACAGTGCCTGCCGGATTTGGGATTTGGGGAAGCCCAGTCTAGATACCAAAAAGCCACTCCTCAGATGTGTCCCGAAGTTGGGGTGAATCCTCTCCCCAGCCGCTGAAAGACAATTATTATTATGGCCTCTCTGGTTCTGCAGTGAGGATCCAGAGGCATATTGTTTGTGAAGGCCTGGGCATCAACACGGCTGTGTTCTGATAAATGATAATTATGTCATATTGGAAAGGACTTTAGGTAGAATGAAAACAGGAAGATCATCATGTCAGAGGTGCCTTAAAACAACTCTTTAGGAACTGAAGGACGTCATCTTTGGATTAGTGGAACTAAAGCCACATCTATAGGTCAGACTCCAAAAACTATATTCATAGTGTTTAAACTTTCTTATCTGTTGAACCAGCTCCAGCCCTCATTGCAAGTTTTCAATCCGGGCATGCCAGGAAACATCATCCACTGCTTCTGTCAGTGGGATGACCGGGAAGGCCAGCTGTAGGTGATCCAGGCTGGTGGGACTGGCGACTCAGCTCGTGCCTGCTGCGGGCGGACCACTGCGCACTCCTAGAGCAAAGACAGAAGAGCAAGGGGCAGCAACCCAAAGCACAAAGCCCACTTCGGTCGGTCCCTCCTTGGATCCTACTAATTTGTCACATGGTGAGTCTAAGCCCAGTGTCCACACACAGGCTGGTTCGTTCACGGTGGTAGCGCAAAGTTACATAACCAGGGATGTGAACACAGGGAGGAATGAAAATTTGGGGCCATAGCTGCTATTTACCACAGAGTCCAATGAGCAGCTTTGACATTTCCTTTTGTTTGATCTAGAGCATATCCCCTGTTTATGGTTAAACTGATTGGTAGGTAATTTTCCATCTGGAAATAGATTTAGAAAAAAATACGTAGTGTCTTCATTATCCTTGAGTTCTTCAGTCAGTTATTGAAATTTCCAGAAAGACTATGCTCGGCAGCAGTGGTATCTTTTCTATCTTTATTAACCAAAAGCACTATTTCTCAGGCTGTCCTGGCCTGCTCGGACTAGTATAACATCATCTGCTGGGCATGTATCTTGGCAGCTTGAACAACAGATGTTTTTCTGCCCCAGTCCTGGAGGCTAGAAGTTCAGGATCAAGGTGCAGGCCAGTTCAGGCCTCTGGTGCGGGATCTCTGCTTGGCTTGCAAATGGCCACCTGTTGGCTGTGTCCTCACAGGGCAGTGAGAGCGAGGGAGGAAACAAGTTTCCGGGTGCCTCTTCTTACACAGGCACAACACCCACAAAAAGGGCCCTCTCCCATGACTTTGTGCATCTAATTACTCCCCAACTGTATTTCCAAAAGCAGGCCTGAGGGTTTCAACCTTGGAGTCCTGGTAAGGGTTGGGTAATAACACAAGCGAGTCCTTAGCAATACCTGTTAGCCAGTACGGGGAAGTTCTGTGAGAATGGGGGATATGGGTTGTAACGCAGATGGTGTGAGGCGTTTGAGGATGTGAATGATACAGGAAGGAGAGAGGCTGGGTGTACTGCTGATGCTCGCATACTCCTGAAAGCTGGGCTTCAGGCTCCATACTGCCCCCTGCAGGACCAGACAGGCATCCAGAGGCCAGGGTGACCAAGATCTACATGCTGCACACCCCAGACACCCCAAGAAGGCCGCCACTGAGGCAGCAATGGTGGTCGTGCAGACAACAAGTGGTCTCCTTATTTTTCTATGTAGACTCCAAACATATTTTAATAATTGCATGAAAAAAACAACTACAGAGATGATTAGGATAAAGTTTGTTCATACATTTTCCTGGGAAAGAATAAAGGAAACCTTTTTATTTTATAACTTATGAATTTCTTGTTGCCTTCGAAGATTTTCCTTTGCTTTCCTGTGCAGAGATACCAGTCAGGAGATAGTTTCAGTTTTAAAACTGCAATGTTTGATATTTAAATTAAAAATTCAAGAACATACCTCTTCCATTAGCTTTTAGGTTTGACTTACAGTTTCTACTATGCTGTTCATCAGTCTAGCCAGTATGAATAACCGCTTTTAAAATGGGCCTTAAAAATTTTATATTTCATAGTATGGATCTTAGAATATTTTAAACTAAATTATTGATTGTATAATGCTTCTTAAAAGTCCTTTAGTTGTCTAACTGATTGACCATCTCAGGTGCTCAAATGATTCCTGTAAATCTAGTCAGTTAATTTATATATGGTGATCGTTAAGCTCTTTGAAAGTCCAGTGCTATTTATAACCTTAATTATGTTTCAGCTTAAAAATCACAAATCTAAGTCAATTGTTGAATCACACACTTTAATACTGTAATTATAAAACTGACCAAGCCTTCCATCAGAACGAATTTGCTTAAATATTATAAGGAGCTAAAATACCAAATATGCATATTTCTTTTTACTAAGAGAATTGAAAATTGCAAGTTTGAGTCTTCTAACATTTTTACATTTAATTTTGAGTCTTCCTAGAGTTGAAAGATTTGACTTCTCTCCAGCCAAGCTGAGGATTGAGATTCCTAAAGGAATAGCAGACCCAGGCAGGGCAGTAACTTGATTTTTGTCAGCAATCCTGAGACAGTATGCCACTCCTTGTTTATAATAATTGTATGTAAACATCCCCCATAGTGCATTATCTCTAATAGTCCATTGTCTTGGATTCAGATTATATATTTTTCCATAATTCTTCTATAACCCCGCAGTCTGAGCACCCCATCCTCACTCAGGAAAGTCACTATATTGAATGTCACACATTTTTGACTTTTCTGTCTACAAAGGTTTCTTTTTTCTCCCTAATTCCAAAGACCTTGAAATTCGTTAGGAATGTGCATGCTTTCCATGTACTTTTAATTTCTTATGCCTGTACAATTTTTTTTTTTTTTTTTTTTTTTTTGGTACCAGAGCTTGAACTTGGGTCCTTGTGTTTGCAAGGCAGCCACCAGAACCACTGAGCTAAATCCCCGGCCCTGCCTATACAACTTTTATAGAAATATATTCATATCCAATTCACTTGGGGAAATGTCTTTGGTTTCCTTTGACTGTGACAGACACAACTTTCAAGATCACTAACGACAAAGGGAAAAGAAAAAAATATGAGAAAATGAAAAAATAGAAATAAAATATTTGTAAATAGGGAAGGGAGGAGAGGGTGAAGGGAGGGCAGGGACAAGGGGAAAAATGAGAACCAAGACCTTTCATGTAAGGTAAAAGATCCCAATAATGAATGTAACTGTACTGTATACCTAAAATGTACCAATAAACTCAATGAGGAAAAAAAATGCTATCAGGGTTCTTCACTTCAAACCACTGATTGGGTTGTACAGAAATTACATTTTTGACTGCACAGAAGGACACCATATGATTTGAAGTTTGAAGAAGTATTCAAGTGCAAACGACAAATAATATTTCCTCAGTTTGACTTAAATCTTGTGTGTTGATCAAGATATGTGGATGTCTCACAAGCAAACTTTGAACATTTTGAGATATTAAGATTTGCTCTCATTGTGTCTGATCTCCTCACATACAGCAGTAAGGGGAAGCACCAGGTGATAAGGTTGAGAACACTCAGGCGAGGAGATGAAGACCAGTCATTTGATGGGGACCACACTCTTGCCGTGTGGTAAAGGGTGAGTATCTTCTCTCTTTAACTCAGATGCTTGGTCCTACAGGGAGAAAGTGTATTTTGGGGTGAGATACTGCTTAGCCTCTGCAAATTGTTTTTAACACACATATCATAATCAAAGGACATGTTCTCATTGACCATTGACTTCTTTCTACAAAGTTGTTGACTTTATGTTTCTTTTGGGGGGTAGAAGACAATCTTTAAAAAGGCAATATAATCATATTCTGGATCCTCTGGATGACAATGTACAATGGAATCCTGCCACTGATTTCAACACCAAAGTCTGCGGTTGTTGGTAGAGTTATCTGTGCCCAGGAAGCATTATCTCTATTTCAGGCTCATGGATAAACATCACAGGCAGACTCAGTACATAAAGTTTTACAGTTATATTGGATAAAAGAAACTTTTTTATTACAGAAAGGATCACCTTGATAACAGTTATTCAAAGAAGATAATGTTAAGAAGGGTTAGATATGTTAGAGTATTTTTTTTAGAGGCTTTCCCAAGTTGGGTTAGTTGAATTGGCATACCCGACTCCAAAGAATGTGAGAGGAACCATCAGCAGCATATTCTTTTTTATTTTTATTTTTTGGTACTGGGGAACAAACTCGGGACCTTACACTTGCAAGGCAGGCAGTGGAACCACTGAGCTAAAATCCCTGGCCCAGCACCATATTCTTGTTGTAAATGAACACCATTTTCTGTCATGTTAATGTGCTAATTTGAATATTATTGATTTTTCAATTTGTTTCTAATTAGTATATTTACTTTGGTTTCATAATTAGATAAGAACCACTACATAAGGAATTCATAACTAGTTTTATGTTCATGCATGTTTAAGTAATGTTATTATAAACATAATTGAAGTCAACATCTAGGGTGCAGTGGGAGTAGTCCCCTTTTTAATCATTTATTTTTCCCCCTTCTTTTAACAAGTGTTGATACAGCACTCTAGTTAGAGAAGCTAGAATGCACACCAGTGCTATTTTCATTTCTACCCCACCAAAAGTGAAATATCTTAAGAGTCATTTGAGTATAGCAGTTGATAAACACATGGATTATCTATATATGAGTATGTGAATATATATCTATATAATTGTATATATATATATTTTAATATATATATTCAAAAACTACAAAATACTTTGAACTCCTAGAAGTAAATTATGTTCACATGTATATCATAACAAAAAGTTATTATAACATTGCATCAGGGTGTTGACAATAAAGCACAATGTGCCCAATCCTGACTTGGTATGACTCTGAAGTGGGGGATGCTAATGGGATGGCTTAGATACAGCCCCCTAGGATATTCTGGTTCTTGTTTGCATACCCCTCTGCAGGATTTCCCTGCCAGTACCAGGCTGGTGTGTTCAGTCTGCCCTGTTGGAGGGACCCAGGAAGCACGCCCAGCTTCACTTCCTTGTGTTGGTAACCTGGGAGGTGCAGAAACACATGGGTCATTTGATCATTTAATGGGGGGGGGTGCCTGGTGCCCCGTCTTTAAAAACAAACAAGAAAAAACATTCTCCGTCAGATTCTCTTAACCTGAAGCTCTTACCCTGGGGAGGACTCTAGGAGCTGGGATTGGGGGTGGGAGAGAAGAGAAGAAGAAAAAGCTCTCTCTGTACAGAGCAAATTGGAAGTCACAGAGGAGAGCGCCTCAAGGCAGTTTGTAAATCCACTTCCTTTGTCATAACAAGAACAAGTCTTACCTTTGAAGTTTTTTTCTTCATGTTACAAGGGGAAGGTCTTTTGTTTAATCCATGTTAGCCCTTAATACCTGACCTGGATCAATCCTGTTGGTTAGATTACACAGCATTCGTGCTGATTTTAGACTGGCCTGGGGGTGGGGGAGTGGGACGAGTTCTGCTCGTGGGTGTGAGAATCCCAAGAATAATCAGCGTCTGTACCCAGACCACCTTTACTCTGGAAAGCAAAGTGTCCTTTTGTACTTGAGTGTATAAACGTAATGGCCATTGTTTAAGAGATTTTGGTGTGAGCTGCTAGAGTTGTATTTGAGCGGTCCTTTAACAACTGATTATAATTCACATATTCACAGTGTGTGGGGAGATTGTGATCCTCACTGTAGTCATAATGTCTTCAGTTAAAAATGAAGAACCACTTTCCCTCTTAGGCCCCGCACCAACTGTAGGTGCAAAAGTGAATTTTTCCAGCGGTGGAGGGCACTTAGCTTCTCTCTGTGACTCTTGGTGTCATCTCCCTTTCACAGGGATCTGATTATTGAACAAGAAAGAAGAAAACAAGCCTGTTTATCAAACAGAGCCCAGTTTCTCCCATCCCAGAAGAGCATTTGGCCACATTCCTTACAAGAATTCTCAAAGCAGGTGGCAAGCAAAGAAGAGAAACCCTCAGTGTAAACCTCAAAAGGGTCATTTGCTAATTCAGTATCTTTCTAGGCTGGTGACTATTAATGGATTCTTGACAATGCACATTGTTTCTCCAATCTTTTCGGGTTGGCTGAGTACTGAAAACCTTCCCAGAAAACAGAATGGCCGAGCAGGGAAGAGGAGGGATGGACCATTCGTAATTATCAGCGGCCCTCTTGTCCCGAATGAACTCAAGTCCTCAGGACTCCTCCTCACCAGCCTGGTGTGACTGAGAAAAAGCCAGTCACATAGCAGCGACTAGAAAATAGTACAATCAATGGAGGAAGTGCACATTTGATACTCGCATTAAAAAATGTGCCATCAGTCAAGGTATAAGACTGGTTGGGTGAGCATCTCTTCATTTTGGCTGGTTTTGTTTGCTCCAGTTGCTAACTGCACAGAGAGAAACCAGGTTTAAGCAGCTCTCCAGGTACAAGGCATTTCTCCGGGATTAGGGCTGCGTAAGGTCTCAAAATAGGTTTATGAGGACACAAATGAATTTTGAGTATGTGCTGGGTGTTTCTCCCCAAAGAAAGCAGAGTTATAATAATTTGTATTATCATTTATAGTTACAACAAGTAAAGCACATGGAACGTACTCTTTTTCTTAGTAGTCAGGCGAGAAAAGTCTACTTA